AGTGCTGTGTTGCTTGCGTTGTTCTGTTCTGATTTGCTTTGTTCTTTTATCTTTTGTTTTATTCTCTTTAAAATAAAAAGTGTATTTTTCAGTCGAGCAGTGTGAAATTAAAAACTCTATTGGAAAGACTTTCACTATTAAGAAAAAGATTGTCAGATTACTATAATTATAAATAACCTGGTTTTCTACATTTGTCTTTCAGTAAAACATGTGTCTGAAATAATAGCAAATTAAATTTTAGTGTTGGCAGCAATGTTGAATACTTCCTTGCACACCTCAGGCTAATTTGTATATACTATTTGAAAATAGAGCAGGTCAAGAAATAGTCACTCTGGTCATATTTTTAAAACTAGGGACGAAGTTTCGGAAGGAAAAAAGAATAAAAAGATTTAATACAGTTAGGGTTTTCCTCCCCTCCAGTCTGCACCTGTACCTTCCTTTGTCATGTTTACAATTGTCAGACTGCCTCTTTGCACACCTAAATTAAGCAGAGACACATTACATTTTCCAAGCATTTGCTGAATAGTAGGTTAAACAGGTTTTCTAAGCCCTGAATAGTAAACCAAATATTAATGATTTAAGCACAGCACAAGAACTTTAGTCCAGAGCTGGAAAAAACTTTACACATCTTTTAAAATACTGTGTATGTGTGTCCAGGTTGCTTTCTTATTTGAATAAAATGTATTGACTCTTTTTGATTAATGGAGTCATCTTCAGAGATACGTTTTATATTTGCATTTTATAGAAATAGGAAAAATCAGGTACTGAAATTCTGATGATAAATCAGATAACTCATTAGTCAACTATAGTCCGTCATTCCAAGAACAGATACTAATTTGTGGCATTTGGTATATATTAATCTTTGAGAAGCATGAAGGAATGTTTAAGCAGGGGGTTTGTTGTTGTTGTTGTTATTGGTGTTTTGTTTCTTTTGCATCTCCTTTTCAGTATTTATTTGTAACAACTCCAGTCATTTGAAACCTAACAAGTGAATAGGATTTGGTGATTTACCAAATCTTTTGAGAGTCCTCAAAAAGAGTACAGATTTGTTGGAACTTGATTGTATTAGCCCCTCTGTTAATTAGCTTAGGGAGACCTGTAAAAGGTGTGTTGGTAAAACAGAAAGATATCAGATACTTTTTCATTGTAAAAGTGATTAAAGCTGTAGCATTATGGTAAAATTTTCAGAGAGAAAAGGAGTTATCAGTCAAGGTCTAGCTTCTTCATTGACTATGTATAAATGTTTCCCAAAATAATGTTTTACAGTGTTTAAAATCCTTAAATTCTGTACTGGGCTGGAGATGTAGATACTACTAGAGTGTTTGCCTGTGTTCAATCCCCAGTACCCCGTACCACAACAGAAAGAAAAGAGAACCTTGCCCTTCAATATTAGTAATTTGCCCTGATGTCCTAATATATCATTCTACTGAATTTAAAACAATATTCTTGACTAAGTCTTTTTCTTCGTTTTATAAAATGAACGTGTTTAAACAGAAACCAAGTTCAAGAAAAATGTACTTATCTGGCTATGGTGTAGAGCTAGCAATTAAGAGCACAGAATACAAAGCATTGGATGACACCCAAGCTAAAAGTAAGTTTATTATCTCTATTTTTGAGGCTTACATAATTTTATTTTTTTTTTAATTTAATGAATATATGGTACAGATGTACACTTGAGGCTGATGATAGTTTGGGATTCAATTTTAAATTGAAAGAACTGTATTTAATATTACTCTATTTTCAAAACTTCTTTAAAAATAGGAAATAGTACATTATTTTGCTTATATCCAGTAACTTCTAAACATTTTTAGTACCACAGTATACTTAGGGCAATAGAAGAGATTGCTTATGGCTAGCAAAGACTGGCCCAGGAACGCAGGGCTGACAATGTTATGTTTAGTCAACCTCGGGGCATCTCAGGGAATCAGTATCTCTCTCACCGTAGCTTAGGCAATTTTTTGCAGTGCTGGGGATCAAACACAGGGCCTTTCACATGCTAGGAAACACTATGCCAGTGAACTATGTCTCTGACTCTGATCCACTGACCTCAGGAAACTACATCTGAAATTTTTATGATGGTCAGGATCAATTTTTTTTAAGCAGGATGGGTGAAGCTTGTGAATTGTTGAACTTGTTCTTAACAGCTTGCGCTGATACACGCATGACTGTCCACTGGTCAGCTTGTACCACTGGTGGTATAAATGGATCTAGTCACTTTTATTGGTCTTTTTGCTAATAAAATTAATAAAAAGCCATACCATAGGACAAGGTAGCCATGTACCACTGGTAGTTCAAGCCGCCCAGCAGCAAGATATACTAATCATAGCCCCACTGTGAATGTGGTACTCAAGTGATTTCATCATATTCTACAAACTGTTATCCACCCAAAGTAGGTGCTCTTTCCTGGGCTGCACTGAGTGAAGGGGAACTGTCTTGGGCCACATAGTTAGTATATGTAAGTAAGAAAGCTTCATTTTAAATTTTTAATTGCAGCAGGTATGTCCAACCTCTGGTTTAGACATCTCTAGGCTATGTGAAGAAACTGGTGGCGTAAGTAAACTGAGAAATTCTCAGAGCTCATGGAAATCATTTCATACCTGTTTTATCTAAAGTTTTTCATGCTTGGTTGTTAAGGGTGTTCAATGCTTGATTAAGAGTTTTTAATACCTTTTATATCTATTCAAGTGTGGCTTTAGCCTTAACTTTGGCCTTTTATTCAGAATCTGGCTGTGGAGTCTTCACATTGATCAGAATTTAGCTCTGACTGGTGCCACTGAATGTGCTTGAAATAAAGATCTGTGTTACTTGAAATGAGATATTTTGGTCAGAGTTAAAGTATAGTAGAAATAGTAACATCCAGATTTTATGTTTCTTATAGCTCATATGTAGCTCTGTAATGCTTTGTAGTCATGACAATAACATCAGTCATGTTCTAGCTGTCCTTGGCATAGAAATGTCTTTGAAAAGTCAAGTGATCCCTTATGTTTTACCTATGCTACCCACCAAATTCTGTTACCAACATTTTACATGTATTTGGAATATTTCTCCCCATTCTGTTTGGCATAGTTTTGGGTATGTCACTGATGAATACAGGTTGACAGAGATATTTAAGTCCCTTAGGTGCCCCAAGCTTGGTTGAATACAGCATAGGCTACCCTGCATTCTGGGCCAGTCACCACTAGCCATAAGCAATCTCTTCTGTTGTCTGCGTATACTTTAAATATACTATCATTTGTCATGGTGCCTAAAATGATGGGGAAGCCATTGAGTGTAAGTGAAAGACTTAACTAGCCTCCCTCTGATCTTTGGTCTTTAATGCTCTCATTTTCTCCACCCTCCAAAATATATTAAGCTGTTCTCCATAAGGCTTTCAAATTGAACTTCTCACTGTGAAAATCTGACTTCGTGATTCTACTTATTTTGAAAAAAAAAAAAAAGACATCAAGAGATGAATGGAGAGAAAGGGAAGGGAAAAGGGGATTAGAAAAAGAATTGAAAGGTGTTATATATATATACTATTTCGCATAAGGAATGTAAACATTATACTCACATGTACTAAATAAATAAAACCCCAGACTAGAGGGGGAGAAAAAGGGTCTTTAGTGAGCCCCTGTAAGCCTCCTCATAAATTCAGGTACTATAATATTGCAAAGTTTTCAAACAGGATTTTTTTTCTGCCTCATCACTTCCTCAGAGCGCTGGGCATTTGCACCCTCTGCATTTTCAGTGTTAAACTACTATTCAGAATAATTCTATTCCTTGGATACCTCCGTGCTTGGACTCCTCCAGGCCTTTTATGACTTCTTGACTTCTGTAGTTCCTTCTGCCTTCAGTTGTCTTCTTTTCTCCCACTTTTTTCATCTAAGTTTTACTCTTATTTTATTTTATTTTATTTTATTTTATTTTATTTTATTTTTGAACAGGGGATCAAACTCATGACTGCACACTTGCAAGGCAGGCACTTATGCTGCTGTGCTAAATCCCCAGCCCTTACTTGTCTTTTAAGACTCCTGTATTATCAGTCAGTATCTCTGAAGTGTCTGCCTTTGTTGCTGTGTTAGAGATTGGCTTTCCCGTTTGTATATCCCAAGTTTCTATGCCTAGTGTTAGAAAAGTTCTGTTCTACTAAAATTGTCCATTTTTCTTTCTCCTCTGCTGCCAAGCATGGTTTGTATCATTTGTGTTTCTCTTCTTAGTCTTGATATCTCATGAAGCATCATAGTAAGCAGCCAACAGATATTTTACCCAATGAATGAATGAATAGAAGGCAAAGGAAGACTAGATGAAAACGTCCAGGATCTTTACTTTCAGTCCTAGAGATTGAGAGCTTCACAAGGGGGAAGCATAATTACAGAGCTCTGACAAGCTCTGGTGAAGAACAACTTCATGCTGTAAAAGGCCTCAATTTTTATAATCCTAAGCATCTTTCCTGTAGTCCAGCTTCCACACAGTATAGGTATCTGTTAAGGGAGAAGAGAAATGTCACCAAAGTATTATATCTTTTATCTTTGAGTCCATGAGTTTTGTTGTCTTTTCAAAGATACCTTATTTTTAAGGGCCTTGGAAATGTAAGAATTTGTGTTTATTAAGGTTTGTATCTCCTGCCAGACTTAAAAGCTAAATCTAGCATCTGTAGGCACTTATCTGTCTTACTATTTCGAGTTGTAAGATAGAATGTGATTATGAAATAATCCATAAAACATTCACTGCTAAATATTTGTTAACCCAAGTCCATTTAAAAAGTGATAGCACATTCAAGAATCTAAGTCTGTACACATGCATAAAGAAAAGCAAGGTAAAAAAAAATGGGATTTTATTCCATTGTTAGTACTAATTTTTGACTACGTGTTCTTTTCTTGGTCTGAAAACATTTTTTCAAATTTTGTTTTTATTTCCAAATGTAGCTGTAACTAATACTTCTATGGAAAATGAGATTGAAGCAGATGAAGTTCAAGGATTTCTCTTTAGGAAACTAAAGTAAGTCTAAATTGAGATGAAATTGGTATTATACCCTTTTGTTCTTAAAGGGATTAATTTCATATATTGGCACATGTTGTTTTTATATGTGTTTTTTGTAAATAAGTAAATATAAATTATTTATTAGAAATATTTACTATAAAAATAGCTAGTTTCAGAAAGCTAGGAAAACCAAAAAAAGTAGAAACAACTTTAAAAATGACTACACAACTGTTGCTTTTATGACATGTTGGCATATATCTTTCTGTGCATATTTTTACAGCTACAAATAAGTTCACACATAGTATATGTTTTACACAGTGAAATTACATCATGTAACTGCTTTTTTCATATCTTGTGGGATATTCCATCATTGGGAAAAATCTCATAGAACAGAGCTTGAGTTTACTTCTGTACTATTTTATCAAATATTTTTGTATACTAGTTTGTATTAGATTTTTATTAACACAAATTCTGAGAAAAATATTGATAAATCAACTTGAACTTATTAATGCATATTCTAAATTTCCCTCATTAAATTGTGGAAGTTCATACATTCATCTCGGTTTGTGAATGTGTTCATTTCCCACAGCTTTATTAACCACTGGTACTATATCTAAATTTTTATTCATGTAATAGGTGAAATGCTGTTTCTTTTTTGTTTGAATTTGTGTACTTACTTCACTAGACTGGGGACATAGTCAACTATGGCAGTTTAATATGGCAAGAATCAAGATTTTTTTAAATGTTTATTGACTTTTGAGTTTCTTCCTAAGTAAATTACTTTTTCCTGCCTTTGCTCATTTTTGTTACTGTTCACCTCTTTGCTAATTTGTAACAACTCTTTATAATTTTAAAATTGTGACCTTTTTGCTATATGTTGAATTATTTTACTGATGATTGTTATCAAATTAGTCTTAAAGGAAATTTATTCATTAATTAGATACAACATACTAAATTGAGAGCTGAAATTTCATTTTAATGCTGAGCAGCATCCTTGGACAACTAGAAAAATAGAAATTTAAAATTTTAATTTCCTGTCATAAGGTCACTGTAAAATGTGTGTTTCCTTTCACCCAGAAAAAAATAATTTTTCCATCAGTAAAGGCTCAACATTGATAGAATTAACTAAATATTGAAAATCCGAGATAGTGGCATAAACCAGCAAGTAAATTGCCAAGTAAGTTTTAGCCTTACAACATTTTTGATGTTGTTCTTCATTCACAGTATGTGGCATCCAAGTATAAATTACAATTTTCCTATTTAAAAGTAATAATGCTGTTCACATAATAGGTAATTAGCTGCATAATGAATATTTGTTTAGGAAGCTTTTAAATTTGAAGAAAATAAAAATGTAAGTTAATAATTTCATCATAAACTGTTCCTAACAGTCTGTGGCACTTTATATAAAAATGTTTGTTAAAAATCTATAAAAGATAGTTATAATTATCAACTTATCACTTACTAAAATAATTTCTTAATGCCATAAACAAAATAACGTGTGAATTAAATTTCCTTTGAGGAAAAAAAACTAAAAGAGGTAAAAAATAATATTTTTTAAAACACATATTCTAATAGTAATATTAACTGGTACTGATTGTTTTGAACTGCATTGATTTTTTTTCTATTTATAAATTCATCTTGAGAGCTGTGGAAAATGATATTTTAATATACTGATTTATTTTAAAGGTACTTTTAATACTTCTGACATTCATAAAATATCAGATAAATTAAAATAAGTTTTAATTTGAAAAATTTGACATAGTATTTTGACAAAACATGATTGAAAAAGTTAAAAGTTACTTCTAGTAGAAAATGAAAAACAAAACTTTATAGTATCTAAAACTTTGTAGGTTTATGGGTTGTAAAAATCACAGGTAATACTGGGTTTTTAAATCTAAAGAAATTTGTCCCCCACCCCCAAAGAGGAAATTTTCTCTCAGTTTCTTTGCCACAAATTTCCCTATTAAAACCTTTTTAATATATGGTGTTCATTTTGTATACTCACATAAATAACCTTTCAAAGATTAAAGCTGTTTCCTCTTTCTTTCTGCTATACTGAGTGAAGAAAAGGAATAATATGGTGAGTCTTCTCTGAATACTGATGAATGGGGGGGGGGGTTGTTTTGTGTATGCTTTCCCTTATTTACAAAAAGAGAAATTCCTTGATGTGAACAAAATTAAAGGGATTTTTTATTAACACCTTTAATTTTTATTTAATATTATCAGTACTTGGACACGAAGGTTGTTTCTGTTGAGTAACTAGAGACTGTGCTAGCTTAAATAGATGAGGCATATTTTTGAAGTATATTGCTTAAGTACTGTGCTAATGTCTAGCCTTAGAAAGTTAATGCATTTTACAAAGAGGGTTAATCTAAGTAAAGTAGATGGTGACTAACAATACATATTTATGATATAGTCATGTGTGTTTCAACATCTTGGGTTGCGTAATTCCTTCTCTTTTTTTTAGCATAACTTCTTATGGGAATAAATTGCATGCTTTGGAACTCTGGGTGGTTTTGTAAGAGTAAATACACTGACCTTCCACAGTAACTCAGTTGATTGCCATTTAAAATCCTCTGGTTTGAGTCGGACGTGGTGGCTCACGCCTGTAATCCCAGCACTCGAGAGGCTGAGGCAGGAGGATTGTTGTGAGTTCGAGATGAGCTTACGCTACAAAGTGAGCTCAAGGCCAGCCTGAACTGCACAGCGAGACCCTGTCTCAAAAAGAAAAAAAAAAATCCTTTGGTTTGAAGTGTTTTATAAATAATACATGTCGCCTTAGCTTTATAAAACTTTTTAAGCAGTGAAAATGATTATTTTTGAATTTAAAAAACATAATAGCTCTTTTATATGTATTTTTCTGTAACATAAAATGTTGAAAGCTGAAGGGAAGGGTTGATTTAATTCCTAGTGAATTTTTCTTTTTTGGTTTTGTTTTGTTTTTGGTACCGGAGATTGAACTCATGACCTTATGCTTGCCAGGCAGATACTTATGCTGCTGAGCTAAATCCCAGGCCCTTTTCATTTCATTTTTAGACTTTTTAACTTCCATTGACTGTTTAAAATATGTTTTAAATTGTACTTCACAATGTATTTTATAAATCATTTATCTTCAAAAATAAATTATTTAAATATGGAAAGACATGTCTAACCATCTTGAGAAATAAAGGAAAGATTTATATGATGTAAGGTAACATTCTATTATGTTATTAGTATTTGATGTTCTCTAAAAAATGTTAGGTATGTTTAATACCAAGCACAATTATCTTTATTTTTTTTATAATAACCTAAGTTGGAACTTTTCAGAAATAAAACAAACTTAAAGATTGTATAAGATTCTTCTTAGCCTTCTAGCTAAAACCAAGTGAAGATTATATAACATTTCCTTATAAAATTATTTTTATTTTAAATTAGAAAGGCAATCAGTATTTGCAACTTTTTAAAGTATGCAAACAACATGTAACATAAAAACTGATAATGCTCACCTCATTCTTTCATCTCCTAGGGGTAATGTTGAGAAATGCAATATGCCTCTATATTTTTGTTTCACTGATTTTAAAAAGGAGATTTACAGATATGTATTCTTCATTGTTTTTAAATTTTATGCAGATAGCTATCAAGTTTTGTTATTTTAATGATGAATGATTATTTGTATCTTAATTATTTGGAAAAATTAATTTCACAAGTATACTGCTTATAAACAATTTATGGTAGGTAATAACTAATGTTACTTAATATTCTGATGCAGAGAATTACATTCAGAACTTAGAGATAATCTGACAGTATTCCAAAAATACCTGATTGAGAGTAATAAAGAAATGATGCCTTTGAAAGTCTGGGAGTTACAAGGTATAGTATTTCAAGCTTTTTTAATATAGCATTTCGGTATTTGATACTTATTTTATTAAATATGTTTATAAAGTATACTACAAATTATTTTATAGACAATAATTTTAAATAATGTGGATAATGTAAATTATATTATTTTGTTTTAAAATAGCAAATCTTAGATTAAAATTATACAGTTTGATATTTTATAATTTTATAGTGATTCATCTTAGAGGTTAGTTTCAAGTGTTAAATCATACTTCAGGGAAGTGTAATATGGTTTAAAATTCTGATTATTAAGATAAATCACAAGTAAAACTTAGTTTTCTTTTTTAAATCTTGATCTGGTTAGACCATTGCATATGCCTTATTCACCTTGTTGCTGAGACAGTCTACCTGACACCTGCAATTTAAAGGAGAGGTTGATAGTGGCTTACAGTCTGTAAGGTTTCAATCTGTAGTTGGCTGCCTCCAGGCCAAAATGGCATGGTAGAGGGACATGGCTTCAGGAAAACAGGATGTGAAGGGAGGAGCACCAGGGGAGAGATTGATCCTTCCAGGCTACCCTCAGTGAGCTCTCTCCTCCCAGGCTGCATAACACAGTTAGCTGTAAATTCATCAGTGGACTAATCTACTGATGATTACTATGCCTGCATAATCCAGTCACCTCCTAAAAGCCCTACTGTGAACACATGAGACTTTAGGAAGACAGCTAGATATAAACCATTGTAGCATGTTTCACTGGTAAATTTTTGATGAAAACATTAGTGAGTGAACATCACAGCTTCTGGAATGAAGGCCTGCAAGACAATATTTTGTGAACAAAATGTTGTTTGGATTGAACTGTAAGTCCTCTTCTATTTATAATTTTCCTTCTTTGTTATTTGAAATTATTTTTCAAATAATGTGACCACACAGGCACATGTCATTTTCCTGCATAACCCATAACTCTTAGGACATCTTCCATCAACCTTCTTTGATACAGTAGCATTATTGAGACATTATTCATATGCTGTGCAGTTCATTCACTTAAACTGTAATGTTCCACATTTTTCTGCAACTTCCCTCATCTGTAGGGAATTGCTCGTTGATTTCTGTTTTTAAAACAACTGAAGAATATGTGTTATGTGATAATTGTGTATCAAAAGGTCTTCTAAATTAAACATAAGTGAGAGCATTCCGTTTAAAGTTTTTAAAAATGCTAAATTTGAGAATGTTGATATGTTTATATGTATGGATATGTGGTAACAAGGACTTGAATAAAATATTTAAATTGCATAAAATATCTATAAGGATCTAACAGGCTTTTTTCTTCTAGATCTTAGTTTTCAAGCAGCTTCTCAAATAATGACCACTCCAGTTTATGATGCCATAAAATTAATGAAAGACATTTCCCAGAACTTCCCCATAAAAGCCAGGTATGTTAAAGCTTAAAGCTTACTGGTTTAGTTATAGCTGGAATTTTTTCCATTAAATAAATTATATAAAAGCTGATTTCATTTATTGTAATGATGCTAATTCTGTATATACCTTTTTTGAAATTTGAACATTTCATCATCCTGGGTTTTTTTTTTTTTTTTTTGTCTTTTTCATTTTTATCGGTACCAGGCATCGAACTCACAACTACCTGCTTGCAAGGCAGGCACTTATGCCGCTGAGCTAAATCCCCAGCCCCTGTTTTTTTTTTTTTTTTAATTAGAGCAAAGTATTGTCTTGTACACACAACAAAACAGAATTATTGAATTAGAGGGTAATGTAATGGAAAGGTATTTTATAAAATAGTTTTTTAAGTCAGATATCAAAGAAATTTTTGTTTAAGCAATAAATAATAAGGGAGTATTTTTCTCTTTCCTTTATGGAAAGTAATGAAAAGTATTCTAAATACAATATCTATACTCAAACTACTACCAAATCATGGTTTTTGTCTTTTATATTTATATTTTGAAAAAATAAGTAATGTCTTAACTATACAAAATATTTTGTGAAATACTTTCTTGTTTTGGAATACAATCAGGACATCTGTATCCATTTTCTGTATCCAGAAAATATTTATATTAAACACATCTTCCATTTCAGTAATTTAGTTGCATATCTAAAATGACCAATATAAACATTTCAGATTTTAAGAGAGTTTATAAAAATAACATGACTTTAATGGATTTGTGTTCTACTTAGAAATGACAATATCAGATCATAAGCACTGTGTAAAATATAAAGTAAGTTAGCTAGTATTGGAAAGATACATTTGACAAATCACAAATGCAAACACAACAGTTTGTTTTAAGAGTCATTGAAGAGGACCTGTGCTGCCAGCATAAATTGTTAAGCATTGAGTGATTGCTAGGCCTCTCTTTGTCTCAAGACACAGTATTGTTCATATATTCACAGTGCATATTATAGAATTATCAGTCCAGATTTTCTTTGCCTTTGAAAGGTTAAGCAGTACATCTTCAGCTCCAACAAGTGTCTTTTTATTTTTTTTTGAAGTGGAGCTAATTAATATTATAAGGGATTTGAAAGCCCATGCATTTTGGTACCTATGTGGGGATTTGGACCAAATCCTCTATGTATACTAAAGGATTACTTCATTGTCTGTATTTTAGAACTGATGTACCTTGTTAAGATACCAGATTAACCAGAGTTCTTTACATACAAATATTTTGAAAGTTGCCTATTTGCGTTCACACATAGGCATAGGATTACATTGGTAATTTCATACAAAATGTCCGTGTATGGGCAAAGCAACATGGGATAATTTTTTTCGGTCACATGTTTTCAAAAATAGTACAGTAGACGCTTAACTTACAAACTCAATTAATTTTGTGAAGGCTGCTTGTAGCTTAAGTTGGTTGTAAGTCAAGACTTTTTCCCATAAGGGAAATCCCATGATGTGTTTCAGATCTTCCAAAGCACCCCTTAGCTAACCTTTTCATAATAAAATAAAAGTGTATAAGGTGCATGATTTCCCAGAAACATCAACAATTTTACTAGTGTATTCACCAAAAAGTTATAAAATGTGCATAGTTTACCAGAAAGAACAAATTCATACTGTACTCAGCATTCAAGTTGACATTTTTGGGATGCAGGAGGAAAAATGAAATGGAACATAGTTACTATCTGGAAGGAGAGTTCCTGTCCATAAGAACAGCAGGTATCTGGCTCTCTGATGTTCTTTCCTTGGGAGAATCAATGGCCCACCAGGGCCTGCTTCTGGTTCACTGGATCTCAACCTTTTCAGAACTAAAAACTGGTCTAAGGTTGTCTCTTTCTGTCTTTTTTAAAATACTGTTGTGTAGTATGACATGACATTGTTATTAAGCAAGTCAGTGCAGCATTTGTCTTCTTGTCTGTCTGGGTGGGTCTTCTCTAGATGTTTGAGGCTCTCCATTTTTTCAGGATGTCCTTTACTTCAGAAGAACTTTGCTGCCCTGACGGCTGATACCCACTCTCCTTCAGAAAGGTCCTCTGCTGCCATTCTCTGTTGCTCAGCCAGAAGTTGCTGGAGCTCCTCTGTACACAGTTCCTCTGAGTGTTCCTCCCCCAGTTCCTCAGCACTACCACTGTCTGCCCGGAAGTGTGTGGACTGCTGTGGTGACAGTGTCACCAACCTCAGGGCCTCTACACAGCCTTCAGAGTCTCTCCTGTATAATTTTAGGCCACATTTTCTTCCTGGCAGATCTCGGTGTCCCTAGAGAGACAGTGTTCAGGATTTCTCAGTTAAATCTACATAAGAAAGGACTTTGTAATGTTCCCTCCAGAACTCTGAAAGAGTTACGTCTGTATCTGAGACCATCTGAAAGCACTTTAGGAAGAGTTCTGTGGTGTATAGCTTCTTAAAGTTAGCTGTAACCTGCTGGTCCTTAGGCTGCTGTAGAGGAGCTGTATTAGGTGGGAGGAACTTGACTGAGAGCCGTGGGAATTCTTCAGCCAGTTCTCTCAAACCTCATGAGTGAGCAGGAGCATTGTCCATGATGAAGAAGGCCTTGACTGGTAAACCTTTGTCCTTTCTTAACTGTAGGACAGAAAGCCTCCCTGATCCATTCAAGACAAAGTATTTTTATTATCCAGACTTTTGCATTAGATCTTCACATGACTCCCACCCTTTTCTTCATGATTTTATGTTTTCTGTACACTAGGGATCTCAGGGTGATAAAGAGGCTTGATCTTGAGGTCACCATTCATATTGGCACATAGCAGGAAAGTTAGCCTGCCCTTCATAGCTTGCTTCTCTTCCTGGGTAGTATAAGTTCTCCTGGGCATTTTCTTCCAGAAAAGGCCAGTTTCATCACAGTGGAAAACTTGATGAGAGCAATAGCCAGTTTTTCTGTGTCATGGTTTCAAGCCTTTTTAGCAGCACCGGCTGCTTCACCTGCCTAAATTACACCATGAACCCTAGTTCTCACTTTAAAATTGTGAAACTGCCCATTACTAGCATGAAATGTTTCACCATGTTCACTCACTAATAACTATCCTTTACAGGATCTGCAGTTACAACCCTAGATTTTTCATGAATTACAGACTCAAACTATAATGGGCCATCTGCCTGTTTACCCACACTAATAACCTTTCATCTAACACTGCTGGCTGTGACTAACTAATTTCAGTAACACTAGCTTCCTTAAACAAATCTTTTCTCCATATGATTGTTAAGATAACAGATTTTGACATACTGTACCTATTAGTGAGGTAGGTCATAAGAACACCACTCTATATTTCTCCACAATGCCAGCATTCAGGTCATAATTCAATACTTTGGTCATAAGGTAAACCTAAAATTCCAGTCATAACCCAGGTTATTTGTATATGAGGCCAATCATAACACAGGGGTCTAGTAGTAATAAACAATCTATATCAATACTTAGTGCATACAGTGAAAATGTGAAATTTTGCATCTTCATTTTACCTGAGTCAGATACTATACTGTTTCATATAAAAACCATCATATCGTTGCCAAATTAGACTAGATAGAAATGTATGCTTTTTACTCTTGAAGCATTTACAGTTTTTAGTATGTTCTAGAGTATTATAATTTATTGAGTATTAGACTAAGCCCAAACATTTAAGGAAAGATGAATTATATAGGTATTTATTTTCCCAGGTCTCTGACCAGAGTTGCTGTAAATCAACAGATGAGGAAAGAAATACAGGAAAATCAAAAGGTTTGTTGGAAATCCTTTTGAAAAAATTTTTGTCTTAGATTTTCACATTTTGGATCTTTAATTTAAAATAAAATGTTAACTTGTGATTTTTAGATTATTAAAACAGCTCACATTTTTGTATTTTTATATTGTCCACTCTGTGTAAGGTATGTACAGCACATATTGTATGATTCTAGCCAAATGACTTATTTCCTATTTGTTTCACTCTGTGCTCTAGAGTTTCTGCCCTGTAGTATAATTTTCTTTGCAGGATAAAGTCAATTACTCTTTTTGATAACTGGTTTTGCCTAAATGCTTATGAGAATTTAGTCAGTGCTAAGACATTGGAACATTATCAGAATAGTGTAGCAGTTAGGACACAATTGATCAATAGTTTGATACGATTCTGTTAAGTAGTCTCTTAAGTTATCTTTAGATCCCAAATGATAAATGGTCTTGTATTAATACCTGCAAAGTGCTTATAGTAGCAATAGCCTGGTTGTCTTTCAGAGAACTTAATCAACTTTAAAAAATAGACCAAACTGACAAGTCCCTAAACACGTAGTTTATTTTTCTGATGTCAAATGAAGTCTCAAAAAGATGTCTGTGGACATTCTGATTCTATTACTGCACAATGTCAGGGAACTCATGAAAACACCTTAACCTTTCATTTATGGTTGCAACTGTGGCTCCTGCCTTTTCATCTGTATTCAGAGCTTAAAAAAGCAAGAACAATGTAATAACCACATTCCACTTACTAAAGCCTTCCTAGAACATTAACAATCTTCAGCGTCCATCTCCTTAGCCAGATTTTTGTCATGTGACCATCCCTCGCTGCAGGGAAGGCTGGAAAAGCTAGTGTTTGTTTTTCTAGCAGCTGTGGTAAGCAGAGAAGTAGAGTACATTTCATGGTGGGTTAGCCAGTGAACAGTACATGCCACACTGGGACAGAGTAAACTATCTTCGTAGCTATATTGTGACTATCAACAGGTAGAGACATTGTTTGCCTCTACCTGAGGCATTCTTTTAAGGTACTAACAATTGAACCTAGGGCATTTGCACTAAGTACATCTCTGTAGCCCAGCTTTTCTTAAAAAAAAATTTGAGACAGATTTCACTAAATCACCCAGGCTAATGCTCAGGTTTGCAGTTCTCTTATCTCATCTTGCAAGAGATCGGAAATATTAGATATGGTCCACCATCCTTTGGCTTACCTGGAGCATTCTTTGCTTCATTGATCACTTCATACATCACTTTTAAAACTGAGAATCATGTCATTGCTCATTTTTTAAATTTTCCTAACAGCCTACCAACCAGGCTTCAAACAGAATGAATTATTTTCTTACAAGAATTGCTAAGTTTGTTTTGTTTTTTGGTTTGTTATGTTTTGTTTTTTGGTACTAGAGATCAAACTCACAACCTCATACTTGCCAGGCAGGCACTTGTGCTGCTAAGCTATATTTGAACCTGTCTGTGTTTGTTTTTATAATGCTATTTGCAATAAGAAGAAAGAGAGTATGGGAAAGGAGGATGAAGAAGGAATACCACAGTGTTGGTGGCTTTATATAATTGAGATTATTTTTTTCTATAATCATTTAACAGTCCAAAGTAGACATTCCTTGTTCTTAAGAGCTTTCTTCTGTGTCATATTTTGGGTCCAAAGGCTGGAGAACTTCATGACATTTAAGAAGAAATACTTTGGGAATAAAAAAGATAACTGGAACAACTAAAGCATCCATATGGAATCATTTCAAAGGAGGCATTTGAAAGATAAGGCAAGGCATATGTCCCCTAGTGGCAAAGTAAGGAAAAAAAGTGACTGGTGATCAAAGCCCCTGAACCAAGCTGATACTTGAGAATATAGTAGGGTATAGCTGCATTAAGTGATCCAAGTTAAAACTTGGGTCATTGTAAGGAAACTTCAAACAAAAAACTATAGAAAGATTTTCCCTTTGTGCCCCAAAATGTTCTCCCCTGAGAATGTGTATTTCAAGAAAGTTTAATTAATTTATATATGATTAATCAAACAGGTAAAACCACTGTATCAATTTAAAGATTCAGCTACACAAAGAGGAAAGTAGCAAAACTAATCAGTAGATTAAAGAAAGCTTTAAGAAGAGGAAAACTGTCATACAAGATTCAGATATACACTGAGAAAAACCTTGAAAATGGCTTTAGCTGAGAAGCAACACAGGCTGAGAAAAATAGTAACTTGGGTTAACACTGGACACTGAATACAGGTGACACCCAAACAAAAGGATGTAAAAACACAGCTGAAAGAACATAGCAGAGTTATAGAGAGTGGACATTTTATTTCAGAAATAAAAAGTAAAGTTACAAGTGATACAAGAGTGAATTGAAGTTATATAAAACATAGAAGACATAGTAGATTTAAATAAGAAATGAAGAAAACACAAATAAGGATGCAAGAGAAAATTGTTAATAAAAAGGCAGGTAAAGGAAATCCAATGTATCTGTACAAGAGTCCTGGAAACATAAATCAACAAAACAAAAGTGTAAAACTAAAGCTAGAAGACTTCTGAGAAGATGGAGAATGGTGAGCTGCAGAGAAACAGCTTTTCCAGTATTTGGAATCCAAATGTTGGAATATAGCAATGTGAGGCAGAGTGAAAGGGAAATGAGTCTTTGGGACCTAGCAAGGATCTGAAGTGAGAATTTTTTTTTTTTTTTGTCTTTTTCATTTTTATCGGTACCAGGGATCGAACTCAGAACCGCCTGCTTGCAAGGCAGGTGCTTATGCCTCTGAGCTAAAACCCCAGCCCAGGTAGAATTAGAGCTGTGAGAGCAAAGAGAGGGATCACAATGCAGAAGAGGGGAGTGGCAAGCAATGGTTTCTCTTCTACCCCAACTTGAGGCATAGGAGTAGTAGCTTGGACTTACAGGAGCATGGTGACTGCTGGCAAGCCCAGAAGCCTCCAAAGGGAAACACAGTAGTGAAATAGAACAGTAGATGATGAGGACTGCAGTGGCTGGTGAGTTACTTGGATTTTAGACATACACACACACACACACACACACACACACACACACACACACACACCAAAAAAGAATGACTGGCCTATAGACATTTTGCAAAGTGGCCAACAGAAGTCAGCTCAGGAACACCTACGGCATTTGCTCCATCTAGTGGCTCCAAGTGTCAGAGTGAGGCAGTGTCAAGTCAGCAGGAGGCTAGGGAGCTTCACCAGTCTCCAGATGTTGTATAATCTTCCTTTGTCCTCCAACTTTGCTTCTAATCCCTTTCTCTTCTGTTTCTCCTTTTCAATTTTCTCTCCTGAGGATAAAATTGTCATATTGAGGAGATAAGTATTATACCAATTTTCTGGTACAAATCCTGTTCATATGGTTAAAGGTGGCAAATTAATAGTGATCACAGTTTGTCATTTTCTAGGGTATGTTTAATGCTATTCTTACTATTCATTGTACTACCTTAGCCAGTGTGACATACTTGTTCTAATAAGTTGTTCATCTTTGTATGCAAAGACTGACATTGCCTGAGTGTCATAAACAATACTGTAGGCTATTGGCAGAGAACCAGTTCCTAGGCCAAATAGTAGCTTTTCATCCTTACTAAATTGAAGAGTAGGATCTTGCAACAGAATCAAAAGCCAAGTACACCTGAAAGATCTCTCTGATAAGTAGTCTTTTCCTAAGGGCTGTCTACACTAGCAATAAAAATATCTATCATAAACAGTCTACAAACATCAATACAGGAATTGAAATTTTAAAAAAAAGAATAAAAATGAAAAGACGCTAGAAGCAAAATGCAGATCCAAACTTCCAGCTCACCAAAGGCAAACTCGGGAATCAAGGAGGTAAACACTTCAAAAGTCAACCACCTAGACCATCAGAAGTGGTAATGACAAAAGTAAAAAAGCAAATTAATGAGACTCTTAAATAATTTTTCAGATGAAATCAGAGATGATAGCCATAATGAAGGCATAATTAATGAATCTAGAGAAGATTACAGATTTTTTTAAAAAATGAGCTTTGAAAAATTATGGAAAACATGAATCCTCAACATAAGAAGAAACAAGATTCATGAAACACATTCAATTAGATATCCAGGACATTAAAAGTTCTATTGAAAGTATACACAACCAACAGCCAGTATCATACTAAATAGCCAAAAGCTGAAGGCCTTTACTTTGAAATGAGGCACAAAACAAGGATGTCTCTTATCACCACTCCTATTTAATATAGTACTGGAAATACTAGCCAAAGCAATTAGATAAGAGAGAGAAATAAAAGGGGCAAAGATAGGAAAATAAGAAGTTAAATTATCGTTATTTGCGGATGACATGATACTCTACATAGCAGACCCCCAAAACTCCATTGAAAGACTTTTAGATATAATAAATAAATTCAGCAATGTAGCTGGATACAAAATCAATACTCAAAAATCAATAGCATTTCTATATAGTAATAACAAAATCACAGAAAGAAAAACAAGGGAAACCACACCCTTTTTACTAGCAACCAAAAACTTGAAAGATTTAGGAATTATTCTCATGAAAGAAGTGAAAGACCTATATAGGGGAAATTATAATGCACTGAAAAAAGAAATTGAGGAGGATCTCAGAAAATGGAAAGACATCCCTTGCTCATGGATAGGAAGAATAAATATTGTGAAAATGGCTGTTCTCCCAAAACTGCTATACAGATTCAATGCAATCCCAATAAAAATACCATCAACATACATCATGGATCTAGAGAAATCACTCTTCAAATTCATCTGGAACCAGAAGAGACCTAGAATAGCAAAGTTCTAAGCAGCAAAGGCAAGGCAGGAGGCATCACAATCCCTGACTGGATGTTATACTACAAAGCAACTGTAGTAAAATCAACATGGTACTGGAATAAAAACAGACCTAAAGATCAGTGGAATAGATTAGAAGATACAACTACAAACACACTCAGCCATCTTATCTTTGATAAAGGGGCCAAACATGTTCACTGGAAGAACGACAGTCTCCTTATTAAATGGTGTTGGAAAAACT